TATTGTTCTGATGTTAGTCACAAAGCTGAAAACCAAGGTTTCTAATTAGTCGCTGGGTTAATGCTGAACGTTGATGCCAGGACAATAAACCATATACTGGTAGTCCCCAGTTTAAGAGCGAGTTCCATTTTCAAGGTCTGTCCTTAAGTTGAATTTGTATGTAAACCAGAACAGTATTATTGTATAATACTGTATAAGTAGTATTGTGTAATTCAAACCACTGTGTATTTTACTTGAGTCACTGTGTATTTAACTCAGATTTGGCTACAATAGGCTTTCTTAACTATGTGTCGTCTGCAACCCGGACATTCTTAACCCGGTGACGACCTGTTCTGTAAATAAACATTTTCAACTCAGATGTAGAAGCAGAAGAAGGAATGTGAGCACTATGTTTCTGTTAAGTATTATTACCTGCTGTTCTGGCACAAATTGCAATATCATTTATATAATTCATATCTTAAGGGCAGTCCTTAAGGCTTCTGAGATAGTGGTTTCACAGATCAAAAAATCCTTTGGTTTCCCTGTGCAGAACACCCCATCCCCAGGGAAATAAAGCAGTCCAATAGAGTCCTGCTGTCTCCCAGCCCACCCACTTGCCATGCCTCTTTCTCCATATCAGAGCATTCAGTGAACAGGTGACTGGTTTAAGAGGGTGGGGTATGGAAACCAGAAGTTTTCTTCTTCTCCCTTCCTATTTCTGACTACCCGCTTAGCATATGAGGACATTTTTCTGACACTGGAAACTCCAGCTTTAAAAAGGAGCCATGAAAAAGCAGCATACGAGACATTAAGGATTCTAATCATCTTAAACAAGACCAGCTCTCCAACATGCCCCAGAGCTTAAGATCTGATATAAATACTTTCCTTTTCATTATAAGCAATGGAAGGGATGTTTTTTTCTGGCTTGTTGCTGTGCAATGATTGGAGATTTCAGGGTTGTCTACCACAGCAGTACTCTGAACCCCATTCTTAGGGTTCTCAGCAAGTATCCCATCAGAAGATGCTTTTCTTCTTTTGCCCCTTAACAGTTGCAATGTGAATATGGACATGTATGTAGAGCAGAGAACTCATGAGGATGGGCTGTAGGTCAGTGATGGAGCATACAGACCATATGGAGAAATCTCAGGTTTCATTCCTGGCATTTTCCAGGAAAACTATAGCTAGTCACTATAGACAACAATATTTTGTTTGCACTCCCACAAGTGGCAAAGTGTCTAGACTGAATGTTTGTTACAGTCCTCTGGTTTAATCAATGATGTTGTCCTTAAGGACAACTTGGGTCTAGTACTAGAATTGATAAATTGAATTTCCTGTACTTTATAGGAATTTTTACATGTTATTAACTAGTTTATTTTTAATCTAATATTGGGTTTTTACTGTACCATATAACAGTTTTGGATGTTGACTGTAAGTAATAAGTTATACTTTATTATTTTATCTTACTTAAAACTCTTTTGAAATAAATGTATCTAAAATGTCTCCATTATAAAAAAGTGGACATTCTTCTTTTTAGTAATCTAATTTATTCTTTTAATATTTGTCAGTGGCTACTATTAAAGATATTTAATATGACTTTAATAATTTTGCTAAAATGGTACAATTTAAGCAGATTTATGAAGTTTGAAAGCTGTTATAAAGATTCAGTTATCATTAAAGTGTTTAAATGCTTTTGTTCAAAATGACATGTAGTTACTAGTAGTTAATCATCTGTTTTCAACTTCCAGAAATACATGCATGAACTATCATTTATATGTACACTTCCTTTTGTGAGGAATCTGTGCCAGAGAACTAAACTGTATGTATTTTTAAAAGTTATATATTTTTAAATCACTTTATGCTTTGTCCTAATACCTCCATGAACACTTTCCTAGGTATTAGCCAGGCTCCCAGTCCTGCCTCATAGAATATTTTTAAAAAATTCTTTAAAATAAAAACAGTTATATGGGAAGAGAACATTTTGCAGGAAATGAGAAAGCCCGCAACATGTGTCCTGCTTCAGGTTTCAAATACTGATTCACATAGTTGCTATGGTAACTCACAGATTACTTAAGGTCAAGAGATAACAGTCAAAGCATGCAAACCAAAACAGAGTCTCAGACGCTTGCCTGAATGGTTTGCTTTTTAACAGGAATGCGCAGAAGAATAGTCCAAACTCAGTCCAAGTTTCAGCAAGCTGGGTCAGGGTTGTTAGCCAATCCAAAGGTCAGAATTTCATGGGCAGAATCCACACACAGGTGTCACACAAGAGCCAGAGATCAGATGGTTGTTTCCAGCAAAGGGAACATTGGTCAGGGCTGCCTCTTAAATCAGGCTGCAGCCAGCTGTCACTAATCAAGAGTTTTGCTCCCTTGCTTGGCAAGGAGCCTCATAGACCATCTCTGCTCTGCTCTCTTCTCTTCTCTACTCATTGGGTGTGGGGGCTGGGAAGCCTTACCTCATCCTCACCTGATTTCTCCAGCTGCTCAGGTGGTGCCTGCGTTCGATCAGCCTTGTGATTCCTGGATTTGCCCCTCCTGAGGCTGTCATTCCACAGGCTCAGCTGGAGCAGCTTCTTCAGGATCAGTTTCAGATTCTGAGTCCTGAGCCATGACAACGTGCTTTCAAAATTATGATTGTATTCACCAGCCTGAAAAAGTTGACTTTGCTTATTCTAAGAGATAATATACTGGGTTCATTTTCTCAGACAAGTAAAATGCTGAGCAGCTGCACCAAACTCAGGCATGTCCACAATGGAGAGCCAACAGTGTATCAAAACCCCACCTTCTAAACATCCATACATGTATGCATACAATGCACATACAAAGCAGCAGTGCTCACTATTTTGCCCCCTGTCCCCCAGTTGTGAATGGCTCTGACAAAGCAATTAGTTATCAGAAACCTTTGTTTCCCCACCTCCACTTCTGCTCCACCAACAATAATGGTTTTTGTAGCCAGGATCTCAAATTGTTTTCAGAAACTGTTGTTCCTTGTTGTATTTGGCTCTCAGTGCTGCTCTGTGCTAAGTGCAGACAAGCAAGAGAATAGTTCAAATGGTTACTGAAAAATTTGGTAGGACACAGTACCATAGGTGTCGGGGGGGGGGGGGGGGG